TCGGATTAAATATTGTAATGATTATTGTTTTAACTAAATTATGAAATAGATTTAAGATTGTAACAACATTCAATTCAATTAAAATCAAAGATACATTTTATTGACCATAATTATTAGAGTATAGTATATATATGAAAGCTCAACAAAATGAATAGCATGAAGCACATACAAATTCCATTATGAATATATCACCGTAAACGGAAGAAAGAGAATATGTTAGGTAGAAAGATAAAATGTTGTTAGTAGAAAGATAGCAAAACGGAAATAAAAAAATACTTAGGCCTATGATAAACCGATTGACGAACTAATTATAATAATAGGGCCTAGGCATATTAAATTTTGCGATTTCGCAACTCCTTCGGCGCTCCATATATTTGTTTGAATTTCTGGTGAACTTTTCATGGACTCGACCTACTATGTAGGCCCTCTTTAGGCGGTAGCCGATCATTTCGGTCGCGCTTTGTTTCGGTCGCGGTTTATTATCTTTCTACTAACAACATTTTATTTTTCTACCTAACATATTCTCTTTCTTCCATTTACGGTGATATATTCAATGGAATATTTGTATGTGATTCATGCTATTCATTTTGTTGCGCTTTCATATAGGCCTACTATACTCTAATATGGTCAATAGAATAAAAGAAAAATCTGCAATGAGCAGCCAGAATAAGAAAAATAACATGTCTTTGTTATGTCAATACAAAATAACATGTCAATACAATGTCTTTGTTTAAATTTTTTTCTTCAAAATTTATAACATAATTGCCTACTATGGTTTCTCAATTATGTCAGTGTGAAAGTGCTATGGTGTTTCCGTGTTTTATTATTACGTAATACAGTAGTACCGGTATGTTACAGAGTGTACCGTAACTCTCTAAGCTTATTGGTTGACGGGCATCGTATCAAAGGTCATTTGACGTGTTCGTCGCATGTTCGTCCATACAGCTGCAGCGGTACGGTGAGTTGCCAAGCATAATGGGTTTCCAGAGGTGTGGTGTTAGGTGGTTGCTTTCAACAATGTTTTCAACATTTTCAATACTTTATATATTTATTTTACCATTTGTAAATACAGGTAACTTGCTTTTATTTTTTACTTTCAAAAATTGTGTGCAAAATCAATGTACTTACCTAATCTACCTAGCCTATAAGCTAGGCTAAAGCACGATAGCGTACTCAGTCAGTATTGACTTTTCTTTTCGAGGCTCGGCTGTAACCGGTTTACACCAGTCGCTATGGAACGTTTTTAAGGCTAGGCTTGTACAGCTGTACAGTAATAATCTATAATGGCCCACACTGTGCAAGGAGGTAATACCTCCTTTGCTGTAGGCTATAAAATATTGAAATAGTTTTACATTACTACTGCAGATCACTGATACTGATAGATAGAACAAAATGGCAATGTATGGACACCTAGACATTGTAATTTGTATTGTTCGTAACTGACAGTTGGCACATGCACTGTTTTCTCAATGAGTCTGTATTAGTTTAGAAACATTAAAAAAATAAACCATGAAATACATTGCTCTAAAATCAAGGACTTTAACTGTAAATGCCTTTCAATGAGAAAATAACAATAGAAATACTCGTTTCCGTAGTTCCGTTAACTCTCTTGCACTGGACAGAGCCAAAACATTCCCATTCATGCGGAACGAGTATGCACAGTGTCAGCCGATTGATGAATCCCCCAAAGCAAATTCACCACCTGATTAAAAGTTTCAACAGAAGATCACAATCAGTGTGTCAATTAAACTTATGTAAAATGATTAATACACAAGAAAACAACGCGTCTTATTTTATAGGCCACATAAGGCAAACAACTCCATTCACTGAACTATCGCACATGTTTGTACAGTTTATTTTCAGCATTATTTCCTTGTCTCTGATAACATTTCCTGAATTTGCCGCGCAAAAAGACTCTGTCTCCGATAACATTCTCGAATTGGCAGCATACAAAGACTTTGTGACTGAACTTGTCTTTATTCTCCCAAGAGTTTCATTGGACACTACTTGTGGGAACGTTTCTCACTGAATTCATTGTTACTAGGCAACTTGATGCCTATTTAAAGCAATTTATTTCTGTTATGCCTAGATTAAACAAATTATTTCCAATATTAGGATGTTTTTCATTTGTTTACACCTAATGATAATTTGAATGAAATCACCTTATTTTAGTTATTATTAATTACCAGTATTGATATTGTAGGCCACTTATATCATTGTGTTTGTAAATGAGGTAAATAGAATTAAATATGGTAACCAATCAATCATTTTTTTATAATCGTCTTGTAATAGATACAGGTACTGCATGTTTATTATAATACCTCATACATATTATAATGCAAGATTAATAAATTATATTATATAGTTTTTTCCAAGATACAAATTAATTAGCATACAACACATTTTTATTTATATTATTTCAACAATTCGATTTTATTACAGATGATTTCCTGTTACCCATAACCCGCAACCCACATTGCACTGTACTGTGATATCCAACTCGCGCCTTGATTACACTACTCAGCATTCCATACAATAACCTTTATTCGGGCATTGAATATCTCGCGGGCGAACTGGTGCTTGGCTGAACCAGACGTCATTCCTATTGTAGTAGTAGTCTACTGTAGCAGTAGTAGCACCACTTATTATATTCTATTTTTTGTCCTTGATATATTTTAATTAAATTAATCTGATTAGCCTAAGAAGAATATACTATTTTACCAAGGAGGAGTTATACCTTATTTCACCTACTTGTTAAAACTAGCCCCCTTAGGCTCTAGAGTTAGATGGGCATGTCATATGTAAAAATAATGAAAAAAAATATTAATATGTTTCCTTTACTACCATTGCCAATTTCCTTGTATTGTAAAAAAACAGCATTATTTTGGAAAATGAAAACCCAAATCATATAGAGCTGCATGGCTTATAGTTTCGTCAAAGAGGTGATTTAATTCGTAAATACACCTGGAATATCTTTAACAAGTGCAAACAAATTGGTGCTGATTTGACATTTGGGGTTAGTTGACGTGGGGCAGAGAGTTGTTTGAGGGACAAGTTCACGTTCATGTAGGGCCGAGATTACTTTGGGCTGACTTGAGTGGGCCGTGTTCACCTAATTTCTGTGTACGTAGCCTGGTATATTCATAAAGTATAGAGATTTTTACCTCATTAATCTAAGGTCATGTTCCCATTACTACCGTAGTTCCTCTGGCATATACCCCTTCCCCATGAACACAAAATTGGGTCAATTTTGGGGTGGGGGTTGGGCTTACAGTATACCCGGGAATCCCATTTTCAATCATAAAGCCGGGGAATGGCTGGTACATAAAATTGGGTGTTAAGTAGGGGGTGGGTTTGTACCCGAGGAACCACAGTAATTTTGACCAAGACAAATAAATAAGTCAAAGCTTTGGTCAAATTTGACCACTGTTTGCACGTCTTGTACTCAAATACTGTAGGCAGCAATTTTTAAGATAAGATTTGGCACATGCATGGTACAGCAAGTCTATTTGTGGATATGATGTGAAGGGAGTCAACAGCGATTCACGTCAAGCATTTGCTCAGGGAGATTTTACAGAGTTGTGCAGCGTGGTTAACCTTATTGAGCAACGTCTCTTTGGTTCAGTTATTACACACAATTATTTGACCAATAATTATACGCAGGCTGTTGTATTAGGGGTTTTTTCATCAAACTGATCAGATTGTTTGACCAAAAAACATCCCATCCAAACAAGCCTATACAGTAAGTACTCTGTGTGTGAATGAAGGCTTGTTGGCAGTATGTTAGTTTTAAGTACTGCAGCTGTCCACAGTCCACCACTCATTTTTTATTGATTATTTATAGCTTAATATAAACGCAAGCTAAATACTTTTTATAGTTATTGATTATTTTTATTATTATGCACATGATTATTTTTCTAACTAGTAACTAGGTATGTGTTGGTCTAATTACAGGGTCCCATTTTTACAGTCGTCCTATTGCCCGAGACAACCTAAATAAAATACTATAATATTTTTACAAATATCTTAAAGAGATATTAATAACCTAATGTAATATCAAAGAGGAGCATCTTTTGAAGGATAATATGTATTCCAATCAAGCTAAACTTGTTAATAAACAAGTACAATATTGTCACACAAGCTTGCCCTGCTGATTACTAAGTGAAAATCCTAATATGGGACCCTTTAGTGTCCTCTAAACAAGGGCTGGCCATATAGTTTACAGTATATATGTTTTTCTTGCTTCGTGGCTGAAGATGTCCCAAGAGTGGGTTCTAGTAATAGTAGGTACATTAAAATTGTCCAAATTGATTTCTTTTCAAGTACAGGTTAGGTCCAGAAATCCAGAAAAATCATTGTCCAATGGTGTGTAACCCAGCCTAAATTGTCTTTCGTGTGAATTAAGGAAAAACGAAATTAATATTACTGTAATAATAAACAAAAATTATATTGTATTAGTCTAGCTATAGCTGTATGTTATTCATCTCAGTGTCTGCTAAATTTTTCATTCACTGACTTTTTTACCACTTTCAGTAGGTATTTCAAGTCTACTCCAGTTTTTCATTTAAATTGTTAAAAAACCTCAAAAAGAAAGAAAACAAAAATTGTAAGCACTAAAGCCAAATTTAGCTATTTCCTTGTTTTTGTTTCTATTGTTTTGTTCTGTAGTGTTTTTAGTCAATTTTTGCAACTGCCATATTGTACAAAACTTTAGTCCTTTTTGTAGATCTACATCTTGTTATATGATGTGTATGCATAGTTCTGAGAAATATTTGAAAGCAAAAATGCCTGCAGTGTTTTTACTCAGGTACAGTACTTACTGATTTGAATAATATCTAAGTGTAATTTAAGTGTGGATAGTAGCATACAGTACTGATAATATCATAGTTGACCTGATCTAGACCAATCAGAGTTGTACACATTGAACAAGGAAATTACTGGTTTTTTTTTAAACTGACTGATGGTGATGTGTACTGCACTGTACATATCTGTGTAAAATATTAGTGCGCCTTCAATGATTATTCTTTATTATAGATTTCTAGTTGTGTGTAAACTAAATCATTATTTTGTCTTGTTGCTGTAAGTAATAACAAAAATGAATTTACAACATTCTATATGGTTTGAGTTGATCAAATATAACCAAATTTTAGGTAAATCATGGTACTGTACTGTAGAAATTGCCTACACAACGCTGAATTGCTAACGCTAATGTAAAAAAAAATATCAGTAATTCACCTTTTGAATTAAGTTTGAATATTATAATATACTGTATGCAAATTACTTACTATGTATAGCTTCTCTTCATTGTTAGTGTGTCCCATTTACTGTCATTTACTCCAGATGTGATCCATGGATTTATCAAACTAAATTAAAACAGTTTCAATTTAAGTGAATTTAATAATTATTTGGCAACAACGTTAAAGTTTGTACAGATGAATTCATTAAAATGATCGGAGGCTCTCAAATATAAAGTCCTGGGTTCAAATCCAACTCATATCATTCAATTTTTGGGGGCAGATTTAGGTGGGGGGAGGGGGGTTTATGATGTGACCTGCTTTGATTAAATGCCAACAAATATTTGTATTACTATACTAATATTTGGTCAAATTGCAATTTTAAAGTTATTTTTATAAATTTTTTTATGTATATTTTTCAGACACAAGTATTAGTTATGAATATGTAACCTGCGGATCTGTAATTAAGTTCATGAATACACGACATAATGTGCGTCTCCATTCACATGATATTAAGTATGGTTCTGGTAGCGGTCAACAGGTGAGAGGCCACAAAACAATTTTTTATTTTTAACCTCTACTATTGTTTTCCTATTCCATATTTTTAATCTTTAAAAATCTATAGGTATTTTTTCTACTGTAAAAAATTTGATAATCTAGTTGAAAAGAATATTAAGATATCAGTAGCTATAATACACTATATTTCAACTTGCAGTATGCTTCATTAAATGTTTCTTGAGGTTTCCTGACCTAATGCCTTGACCACCTTATTTATCTCGATAAATACAGCAGAACCTCTCCATTGGGACTGTGATGGCACAAGCAGGGGGTCATGGGAAGCAATTGCCTATGACTCTGTCGTCCTACCAAAAATATTAATTTGCTTATTCAAATTATCTTATTTTAATTGCCAATTCCCATTGTGGTCTAACAGCACAATACTGAGCCATAAAAACTCCCATGAACCCCTACCAGGGATTTTTATTCACTGACTACAGGACCCTGACCCACAGGTCCTGACCGTAGCTCTAGTCAGGCCCTTGGTTTCGAACCCCCATTCCACTATCGATAAATTTCTGAAGCTACCACTGCTTTAGAACTCCCTAATGATACTGTAAGGTCACTTTGTTTGGCCCCAAAATTATCGCATTAGTAAGGTTCTCCTAATATACCTGTAATTTGCCCATATACTGTATGGACTGATGATGTCATCACATCCATATGGTTAACACCTGTAACACCAGGTGTCATTTTCAATAATACTGTAGGCCAGCTAGTAGTATTTTGTATCAGCTCTGTGATATTAATAATAATAAAATGATTCAAACCCATTGTTTTTATGTTGTTTATGTATACATATAAACCAGAGAATTTGTCTTGCATTAAATATTTACGTTTTTTTATATTGCAGTCTGTGACAGCGGTAGAAGCAAGTGATGATAAAAACAGTTATTGGCAAGTAAAAGGGAAAAAAGACAGACCATGTACTAGGGGGTAAGTATCAGTTGAAATATACTACAGTACAACTCCTCCTATGGGACACCCTTATTAAATTGACACTTTTTTGACCACAAAACAAATGAAAGTGTATCTTAGCACTATAACCAACCCCTCTTCAGGGGACACCCCTATTAAGGGGACACTTTTTTGTCTCAAAGGTTTCTCCTTTATAGGGTTTCCTTAACAGGAGTTCTACCGTATTTTGGAAATTATGGGATAGAGAATGCTATTTTTATGTTTTTACAGAATATCTCTCAATGAAGCATATAAATAGGATTGTTCAGTGTTTTTTGAGGTAACAATGCAGCAGTAAGCAAGCAAGGGCCATGTTATTATTAATATTAATTTATTTAATAACATTTTTATTATCTGTTCACAGAACTCCAATCAAATGCGGTCAGACAATCCGTCTTTTTCATGCGGACACTCGTCGCAATCTACATAGCCATTTATTTAAATCTCCGCTGTCACAAAACCAAGAAGTTAGTGCTTTTGGAGAGGATGGAGATGGTGATGATGGTAGGTGGTATTCAATTCATTCATCACATATGATAAGCAGAGTCATTTATGTAAAGTCATTCATATTATAATAATAAATTTTAAATACTACTTACTGGACAGCATCATGCATTCGTAAACTTACTGAGTTAAGAGAAATTTCCACATCTTATCAGTCCTGGGCTGCAACCCCTGCTTTTCCTCCACAATCCACTTTTTACCCATGTCTGCGTAGGTCTTGTTTGATGACATTGTTCCTGTACTTTTATGTGTTCCTGGTCTGCATTTTTCCAATGGGAATCTGGTTACTTTCCATGTGGATCAAGTGGCCAAACCATTGTAGTTGATGTCTTTCTCAAAATAGATGCAAGTTGTGCTTGGTTGGTCCTAGATTTGATGGGTTTATTGGAGGTATGTTGTTGACCAGACTATTCACAGAATCTTTCTTGGTTATATGTCAAGAGCGTCAAGTCTTGCTCTCTGTTGTCTAAAGATGAAAATTATTTTGACATAAATTTCTATTTTGCAGGGGATTACTGGGTTCTTACATGTTCGGGAAAAAATTGGAAAAGAAATGAGCAGGTTCGATTAAAACATGTATTAACGGAAAAGTAAGTTTTGATTTGTTTTAATCATCATACTAATTAGCTTATTGTGAAATACTAAATAATAAGAGTAGATTTAAGGATGGGCAAAGTGGTTGATAAAGGTTGGTGAAGGGCTATGGAATTAGCTTTAGACAGGGTTGTAAACTTAAGGCTGGGTGGCCCCACCCCACCTACCATAACTACATCCCTGTCCAATGAACTGAAGCATAGTTTTACTTACTGATATTTATTGAATATATCCACTAGATATTTGACTGTAACTGGTGAGGTGTATGGTAGACCTATTCACGGCCAAAGAGAAGTCTGTGCGCAAGGATCACCCAACTCAAATACGTACTGGAAAGCAATGGAGGGAGTTTATATAAAACCTAATGAAGAAGAGTCTTTGTGAAATGAAGCTGGACAAGCCCACCGAGAGGATTTTCCATCATTACATGATGAATTTTAACTAAAACTACAGCGAAGCCACAACTTCATTCCCAATCCTAAGTGCTCGCACTCAAATATGTAACCACCAACACCACAGTTCTGCACCAACCACCAGAAGAAGGGTAGGGGTAACCTTGCAAAATATAATGGTAGTTTTATTATTCTAAGCAGAAATTTCTCACAAAATCAAAAAACCTTTGGTACCATATGTAAAAATGTGGTTTTACCTGAAGAGACAACCAAGCAGTGATTTTACCTCAAAAACCATATTTTTACACATGGTGTATTGAAGGTTTTATGATTTTGTTGATACTCGCAACCTATGTGTTATGGGTGGGTGGGTGATAACATTAGTAAACTCTAAATAATAAGAGTGGATTTAAGGATGGACAAAGGGTTTAATAAATGTTGGTGGAGGTGGATTTTATAAATCTCTCATTCTGGAATTAAAAAATGTGTTGGTATTTATTATTATAAACAATAACTGTAATAAGCTCCTCTAATGAATGTTAACCCTTCCAGGTAGCTTGTCCAAATCTTAAAGTTAATTCTCTTTGTTTTTAGTTTTTGATATCAGAATGTTTTTGTTTGTTTATTAAATTCTTGGTGTTTATGTTGTTGGGGTATATTTATGCAAATAAGCCTCATATATTTTTTTTTTCTTTTCAATTCTTTTCTGCTATTTTTAAATCTCTAGTATTTTAATAACTATAAATTCCATACCTTATTTTTTTTATTAGTCATATTGTACCAATAATATAAATATTCAAGATAATAATAATAATTATTATTATAATATTATTTCATTCTTATATAGCGCAAATAAGCAAACTCTCAATGAGCTGTACATAAAAAACAGAATAAGGATGTGATGTTAAATTAATGAAAAACTTCATGGGAAAGTTATTTTCTGTATAATTATTTTGAATACAGTACATGAACAAATCTCTTTACTTAAAATTATAATGCAAAGTTCCATTATTTCTATGTGCTACTGTAACCAAAGCTCTTGTAAACTATTATTTGTGGATTGTACTATATGCAATGAATATTCTCCTGTGAAGTTCAATTCAATCAAATTTACTAGAATATGTCATCTTTCATTTTTCTCATTTAGTATGAACTTTTGAATATCGCATAGTTTTTTAGTAATTTTAGTTAACATTTAAAATGTTGCTTTTATTATGTTCTACTGTACTGCCATAATTATGTGTATCTATTCTTCCATTCAGTTGAATTTAATTTAAACAGAAAGATGATTATTACATAATACAACTGCTTCTTTGTACTTAAACAGTACTATAGGGTTATGTTTTCAATCATTTTCGCAAGAGCACAGACATTCTTTTCTGTTACATTCCTCCCCCTGAAAGAGTACACATTTCTAAATTAATTACAGTTGAACTTGCCCAAGTCAAATCCAAAATGCCATTGAAAAATTGTTTGACTTGGATAAAATTTGACTTACAGATTGTTAATTACTGGAAAATACAACAATTTGGCATTTAAAATAAGATTGACTTAAAAATTACTGAGTTAGGCAAAGTTGACTTGGGTAAATTTTACTGTATTTTAAAGACATTATAATGCACACACTTTTAGATCCCTTCCCAGTGTACGTTTTTTTTAATCTCCATTAAATTATGGAAAAATGAATGACCACCTTGCCTTTGGCTTTGTCCGCACTATCATGTTGTATACGACAAATATGGATGATTTGCATTAGCATAATAATGTCATAATATCCATATATGGGTACATAGTTGCCGCATAAAATATGATGGTATGCACAGAGCTTTAATTTGCATAATGCATGTGGTTGTCCATTTGTCCGTAGGAATGTTGAAACTGTAGTACAATAAATCGTATATATTATAATATTTAGCTTTTCGCACAATATCAAAGATGGTGTGAGTATCGTATATTTTTTGTTATTTGGTATTTATTTAGCGCCTTCCTTTAATTTACAAAGCCCTTTGCTTTCCCTGGTTATTGGGTCCACATGCTTAAGTGTTGCTGCCATATTGTCGCAATTACAGGTAACCCCACCAGGTACGCATTTGTACTCCTAGGTGGAGTGATACTACGCAGGTAAAGTGCTGTGCTTAAGGACACAAGTGAAGAAGTTCATACAATGTTAAATTCTCCGTAGGAATTAAACTTCACTAGAATTTAGCATCTTAAATACACTGATTCACATACGACAAAATATTACACAGGACACATGGCTATTTATAAATCAGCTTCTCGAGATACATCCTACCAAAATCACCATCTTCACTTGAGTGCAAAGCTAATATTTGGTACAAATAATATATGCAGATGTTGAAGATAGACGCAACGCCACAGTGAAAGATAAGCTTTGCCCTGTATAGCCAGACACTATGCACCAAACGGTCGATATTGATGCTGCTTGTATTATCATTAAGCACCTTTTATTTATGTCAGGCACGTACAAGCTTTATACATGCTGCACTATTATGAAATTTTTGATTGATTAATCCTGAAGAAGACTGGATTAATTCATTCTTTAAATTGGTGAATGTTTTCAATTTCACTACATTTTCATCAGATGTATTTTGGCATTTATCTAAATGGTTCAGCGTTGATGATAAATGAATATAAGTATACCCTGATGGACAGAAAGTGTTCATTTGATATCTTCATGAGTAAATAGTTTGTTGAATGAAGAGGTTAGATTATAAATGAGTAGAAATGAATATGAAATATATGTTGAACTCTCAAAGTAATGATAGTTGTTTCACTTGGAACACTATTATTTAAATTTTGCTCTCTATGAGAATAATGATATCATTGTTACCAGTGATCACGACTTGTAATCACAATAATAGTGAACTGGGACCACATAAATACGTACTGTATAAAAAAAAAATTTCTATTAATGACTAATTATAGACTTCTTCAATTAAAGACCACTTTTCTGTGGTGCCATATTGATTAATAAATGTTACTATTACTATTCTAATTAGAGGCTAAAGCTGCTAAAGACCATAGATACCCCGGTCCCAAAAGTGGTTTTGAATCGGACAGAGACCTGTATGGAATAATAGATTGATTATTTGAATGCTTACTATGTTAAAATTATTCATTAGTTGAATCAATATACTAGAGAAATTTGATTATTTTACCATGATTTAAAGTGTATGCCCTGTGCTAGTAAAATTAAGGTGTTCAAACAAAATTTAATGGGTTTATTCAAAATGGGTGTGTTTGGAGGGAAGGGGGTTGGTGATGGAGTTAAAACACTAGACCTTAATATAATTATATTCACACGCATTATAGAGAATGATTCAAATTCGGTTTCCATGAAATTATGCCTTAAACGAGGTGCCTTTACGTGGTTCATGACAGTATTAAAATGACCGTTTAACATTGATTCAATTGTCGATGCTTCTTATTGTGGTGTTAAAATCAATAGAAACTATCGTCGACCAGGGGCGGATCCAGAGGAAAAGCTTGCTGGGGCCATGTGAAGTACCGGTAACCATAGACACTCATACATGGAATTTAAATAGAACATTACCTTGTTTTTGAGTATTGTGCTCCCCCCCCCCCCACCATCTGTTCTTTCTCTATTATGTGGGGGCGGGGACTTCCTTGTCCCCCTTCCCTAGGATTTTCCTTTGCGGCTACATTATGTTTTCCTTGATCAGTGGCGGATTGGGACAGTGGCGTAACTAGGTTGTGAGGGGCCCTGGTTCAAGAGTACAGTCGGGGCCCTTGACGCAAATTGACTGCATGCCAACTAAGAATTGCACCACCGATAGGTTAGAGGAGCAGTGGTCTTTCCGATTTTATTAATACTATTTTGACAATAAATCTTTCGAATTTTATTTTTTAATTTGTAATTTTTAGATGATCATAATAAGTATTTCTACTTCTTACGACCAAAAGAAAAGGCAACTTTGATAGTTTTTGAATTGGTGTATTTATTTATGGGATTAACCATTGAACAATCAACAATTCTTGTATAGTTTTATATAAGCCTACTTAAGCTAAATAAAATGAAATGGACTTATGTATGACCGTGATAGTGTAATACACATATCCGATAAACATGGCAGGAAAAACACCTTTTAATAAATTTCGTCACTAATAGAATCGTTATTTAGCGATTTTTTTAGTAACATAGGAACCGACAAAAATCAATTAAAGAAATCAAAACAGATTTTAAAAAAAGCCGCCTAATACCCAACTTTTTAAGAATTTGAGACTTTCAAAAGCCTATAGATGACCGAAAACTGCACTTATGACATGGTTCAGGTAAGACAATCGTAAGAATTTGAGACTTTAGATGCCGGAAATGGGGGAAATTTATTACAAAAAAATCTACGAAAATTACAATCCATCTGAGCCATGGTTGAGGCTGAGGTGAGAACATTTTAATACTTAAAATTTTTGTCAGTTATTTGTTAACACTTTTTTCAACCTCTGAAGGGGGTGCGCATACGTCACTTTTCATAATTTCGATACTAGGCTACTAAGCGCGATATCTCTGTTCCATTATAAACAAATCAGTAATGAATGGATGGTTCCAAACGATTGGAAAGTCTCACTGACTACAAAGGTAGGCCTATGCAACAAACAACGCGCTAACAATAGACCAATCTCAGTGGTATATATCAAATAAAATTATTACATATCTCAATGAATAGGCCTATGACCTTATAAATGTGTAATCCATTAATATGACCGCGAAATGACAGCCACGCTTTATTTTTTATATTATATGCTTTATTTTTTTTATATTATATGGCAAAGTGTTTTGACACAATAGATCATACATTACTACTATTAAAAAAAATGGAAAAATATGGGTGTAATGGAAACGAGTTATTGTGGTTTCAAAATTACCTGACTGAGGAAGCAATAGTTAAATGTTACAATAAAACACATGCTTTAAATATTAAATTTTTATAGTCCTAAGGGAGAGGGGCCTTTATAGGTCGGGGCCCCTGAAGCTTGGGGGCTCATAGGTTCATGAACCTGCGATAGTTACGCCACTACAATAAGCCCTTTCACATCCCTCCCGAACAGGAGCCTTGAAATGAGGCGGGGGAGAATGTAAGGGGAGGGGCCGGGTTCGACGACGTGGGAGCGCCAGCTCGCAAAATGGGATCTGAGGTAATTTTTAGACTGTGAGACCGTGATTTTTTTGAGGGGTGGGGGAGGGCGGCGAGGCCAGCGAGGCCAGTATTTTCTAATACCCGCCCCTTCCCTCTTCCCCCTTTTCCTACCAAGAGATGTCATATTTATATAATTATATTATATTTCCAATCAGCCCTGGCATAGAGTCGATTCGCATGGCTGGTCACACTGACTTCAAGCAAAGATCGTATAGCGCCGCTATACAATCGATTTGCTTCAAGCGCTCATGTCGGCAGTGTCAACAAGAAGGAGGACATGCCTACCGATACGAAGCGTGTTCCAGGTCCTGAAGTTGCGCAACCATATCAGTGGTTTTACGGCGAAAAAGAAAAACCAGTTACTGTAGGTTTACTAAATTTGGTAGACATGATAATATTCATATTATTTTATTCGAAAATCAAAAGCTGATGTAGGCCCGGCCTTGGCCTGTGTGTGGAACCGAATACCACACGACAGGACTTGAGTGCCGCACGCATTTCCACTCTGTACGATTCTGGTGTGTGTGGAACTAGGCCTAGGCTAGCAGAAGTCAGACAGGCTTTGGCTGAACTGAGTAGCGTTCCGCACTGTACTGCTCGCGTGCCCAAATTATCGGTGGAGTTCAAAGTCTTTACAACAGTGACGTGTCGAAGTTCATGAGAGTGCGCAGGGGTCGCACCCCACACCCCCGCCCCCTACCCCTTAAAAAACACAAAAATCTCATTGAAGCCACTGCCTGGCACTGAAATTGATCACCTCATTCATATCACCTTATTTTGGGACCTAGCTCCCCCTCACTTAATCATCGAGCCACTCCACCTTCCCCACCCCACCATTTTCAAGACTCCCAAGATATATGCCACAGCTTTACTGCATAAATCCCTGTGCCATGCACCCATTATATATATAAATTATAAATATTCTTTGATTAGCAAATCATACGTTATAGCAATTACTAACAAGTTGTATAACAACATGGCATGCAGGAGTATTACTAGACCTATACTTAATAATAGCAAACAAATAGCAAAAAGACAATAAATGCAGGTATACTTAGGCCCCAAATTATACAGTTGAAATTGCCTAAATCACCCAAAATGGCATTGAAAAATTGTTCGACTGGGATAAAATTTGACTTACAGATTGTTAATTAATGGAAAACACAACGATATGGCATGTAAAATAAGATTGACTTAGAAATTGTTCGAGATTGGCAAAGTTGACTTTAGGAAAGTTTTATTGTATATTTAAATTAATGAGCAATAGTACTTGAAATAAATGTGACTTTTAATATTTTAAGGTATGTAATGTTAACAAGTACAATAGGGAAGATGGCAGAATGTTTGATGAGCTCAGACCAGTTTGTAAGTAGCTTTGTTTAATCCTTATTTATTTCAAAGTAATCATACAGCTATATAATGAAAATAATATGTTGTTTATTGCTTTTTTTTATATCAAAAAATTCAGATAGGCAATAGGGATATATCAGTCTACTGTATAACTCTAGTAAAACATTCCCAAATTGAATAAATCCAGTAATTTATTGAACGTTCGTATTTGATAGTTTTGAAAGCCGGCATTGTGAGCCAATCAAAGGGTTCGGCCTATATGGAGGTAAAAAACACCAAGGTGATTTGTGCAGTGTACGGACCACACGAGGTAGACCGCAGGGAGGATTTCCAGATGAATGGACAGTTGAGGTGCGAGTTCAAATTTGCAACATTTGCTTGCCGTGCCCGCCGTCAACATCAAAGCGATGCTCAGGAGAAAGAATTCTCAGTTATCGTTCAAAAAGCGCTTGAGTCTGCAGTTTGCCTTGTAAGATTGTCTCTTTGTGATATTGTTATATTCAAGTTATGTAATTACTCCAATTTCTGACTGTCTACACCCACAGCTGAAGTGTTTACTTTAGGCCTGGCCCCAATCAGAAACTTTTATTTTGAAGTATTTGCATGTAGATAATTGAAAAGTATAAATAACCAAATCAGAAAGAGAATAGAAAAATTAAAAGAAAACAACTTTATTTGTTGACATTTTTAAGAGGGCTCTGGATATCAGCTGGCCTACTGATTTGAGTTGCCCTCTTAAAGGACGTTTATGAAGATGATGATGATGTTTGTTTTGTCAAGTTTTATTTTTATTTATGTAAGTAACTTATATGCTAATTATCTTGATATTATTTAAAGATAACTTATTTGCTATTATTAATACATTTTCTTGCATCTTTAAAACAATCTTATTGTTATTTTATGTTTAAATTCTATGATACATGTTGATTTGTGTCTTGAATCCTTTTCTCATTGCAGAGTAAATTTCCAAAAGCCCAGTTAGATATATTTGTCACAGTATTGGAAGATGGAGGAAGCTGTAAGAACCCTTTTTTAAAGAATATTTTGTCTAATAAAGTTCGCCCTCCAATTCGAGACCATCTTTGGGACCTAAAAATTTGGGGGTGGTTTAGATGTTCGGTCTCCTGCAAACTGTTATTTGGGTCTCAAATTAGAGGTGGGGGTGGTTTAAAATTTGGAAGGTGTACTGTAATATCAACACAAAATTTTAGTAAATATATCCTACCAGCCCTAGCTATTATGGTAATTATTTAACATCTCTATCTGTATCACATAAAATGCATATACAGTATACATACTTATTTGCCTCCTTTATGTTGGCCAAACAGCTTATTTTTTTTTACATTTTTGCAGATATACAAATAATTACAAATCTATCTTCACTTCAGGTCTGGCTGCTGCTTTAACTTGTGCTTCTGCGGCAGTGGCTGATGCTGGTATTGACATGTATGACGTGGCAATAGGCTGTACTGTGGTAAGCTAAAGCTGAATAATTCCATGAAATGTTAGTCTGGGCCCCCTCCCCCTTCCCCAGTGAGCACAGATGTAATAAATGGAAAAAATAATTACTTAAACCACTAAAGTATTTGCACATTGTTCCAAAGTCCAAGATGGAAGGACTATAAAAATATTAATTATTTTATATCTTTATGAATTTTTCCCCCAAAATGCCTCTGCGACATTAATTTTACCTCTGACCGTCGGTCGCGCTGTCATGCACTTTTCCAGCCTTGTGCATGGAAGTACTAAATGTAAGTTTAGTAATAACAATTTGAAAATGGGAACACACATTAAAATTTTAGTTTTAAAATAAATAAAACAAAATAAATAAATAACTTAATAGGACAATAAAAAGCATAATTATATCAAAGTGTATAAATCAACTATTATTACTGTAGATCTGTTTTACATTTGTTGGTGTTTAGGTATATGTTGAATAAAAGAAAAATCATTGTTTTTTAGAAACAAATTGGAGAACGGTGTTTAATTGACCCAACTTTTGACGAGGAGCAGTCTGTATTGTCTAAAGAAAACAAGGAGGCTGGCAGTGGAAGAACAACTATCTGTCTACTGCCCTCAATCAACCAAATATCAGCATTTTTGCAAGAAGGAGAACTTGATGTCGAAGCATCAGTACAGGTTAGAAAGTGTATTTTAAAAATTTTATTTAATATTAATCTTGTTGAGTTTCATATGTATTGTTTTATATTAAGATCAATGGGTATATTCTTGAGTTGCTTTCTTAAAATTTTATTTCCTATTTCGTAATAACCAGTGATTTTTGAGCCAAGGATGGCAGACAAGCCACAAATAGTGCCATTAAATTTACTCCCGCAGCCCGCACCAAAATTGCTGTCAGGCCTCATGTGACCCGCTGGGCCCACTTTGCCCACCCACTTTGCAAATGTTAATGTTGTAATTAGCAGCGCCCCTGCTTTACCGCTTGAAACTGAGGATAGCATCCAGCACCAAATATCACCTGTACACTACATATTACAACAATTTATATCTTTATGAATTTTTCCCCCAAAATGCCTCTGCGACATTAATGCTACCTCTGACCATCGGTCGCGCTGTCATGCAATTTTCCAGCCTTGTGCATGGAATTACTAAATGTAAGTTTAGTAATAACAATTTGAAAATGGGAACACACATTAAAATTTTAGTTTTAAAATAAATAAAACAAAATAAATAAATAACTTAATAGGACAATAAAAAGCATGATTATATCAAAGTGTATAAATCAACTATTATTACTGTAGATCTGTTTTACATTTGTTGGTGTTTAGGTATATGTTGAATAAAAGAAAAATCATTGTTTTTTAGAAACAAATTGGAGAACGGTGTTTAATTGACCCAACTTTTGACGAGGAGCAGTCTGTATTGTCTAAAGAAAACAAGGAGGCTGGCAGTGGAAGAACAACTATCTGTCTACTGCCCTCAATCAACCAAATATCAGCATTTTTGCAAGAAGGTGAACTTGATGTCGAAGCATCAGTACAGGTTAGAAAGTGTATTTTAAACATTTTATTTAATATTAATCTTATTGAGTTTCATATGTATTGTTTTATATTAAGATCAATGGGTATATTCTTGAGTTGCTTTCTTAAAATTTTATTTCCTATTTCGTAATAACCAGTGATTTTTGAGCCAAGGATGGCAGACAGGCCACAAATAGTGCAATTAATTTACTCCCGCAGCCCGCACCAAAATTGCTGTCAGGCCTCATGTGACCCGCTGGGCCCACTTTGCCCACCCACTTTGCAAATGTTAATAATGTAATTAGCAGCGCCCCTGCTTTACCGCTTGAAACTGAGGATAGCTCCAGCCCATATGAGCGCCTAGCTTGGCAAGGAATTAATGACGTCCCGCTCAGGCACTCAACTTGCCTAGTTTTGGAACATCCTTGCAGAAAAATATTTTTTTGCTGTTGACAGTCCTTGATATATATCATGTTTATGTGGTATGGCACAGCGGGAACGGTTTGGTTTCCCAACCTCGAGGTCGGGGTTTCAATCCCTCACGGTGTATTTCACTTGTGTCCTTGGGCAAGGCACACTATCTACATTGCTTCTCTCCACCCAGGAGTATAAGTGGGTACCTGGAAGGGTTAAATGCAAAAATGCGCTGATGTAGCTGCTGCAATGTTATCGAATACCCCTCCAGGTAGCTCTAGTTTGTGTTCCATAGGCGTTTCAACTGTACTACATCATATTAAATATGTCAAGACTCATTGAAACTTGTCAAACTCAATAGCCATATCACATGTCATATTTTTAATAAATAGTTGAATGGAAGTGTAGCCTGATAGACATAGTGTCTCCCTTACCATAATATTGGCATGAAAACAGTTTTTGCAATTCAAAGGTTGTGTTTTTGGGATAGTAACTAGAGCAATTTCACACTATGATGATTTTATATTGTCCCAAATTCCTTCCAGAGCCATCATCCACTTCATCACTAAAACAATAATAATAACAACACATCCGCAAATGTATTTAAATTAACTCTTCTACTTGGTGTAGTAATTAAGTATATTCTAATTAAAACTGAGAAAGTTTTTTTTTTTCAAAATGAAAATAGAGGTTGTGGTAACTCTTGATGTTATTGTCAAGGGTGATACTGTAAGTGTTATGATAATCATGGTTTTCATTTTCTTTTAATGAATTTAATTTATCATGTTTATTAATGTAATTGATGATGATGATAATATCAACAATAAAAACAAAACAAAAACAGCAACAATAGTAGCAACAATCTTTATTGATCAAAAAGTTATTGTTTATTTTTTATTTTTCATTTCATTTGTTTTATGGTTTCATCCTAATTTTTAATAAGATGCATTGGTCGTTGTAACATGTACTATAGCAATAACTATCTTCCCTGTCTTTAAAACTGAATTTTGATACAATCTATTATGCTTTAAATTATCAGGGTATGCAGAGTTGCATTGAAGGATGTCAAAGGTTATATCCTGTTGTTCATCACTGCCTGATCGAGGCTGTCAAAAAGAAGTTTTTGGCTGGTTCAAAGGAGGTTACGTGAGGTTCGGAGGACGCCTTTTGTGCTCTTCTAATACCATTGCAACATTTTTTCTCATAATAAGAGAAGGTTAGAAGTGAATAAATCGATTCCATGGCTGCAGACATGTGACAGTCAATGATCAGTAATATTTGGATATAAACATTAAGATGACACTGTGATGTTTACTTGCAACTGTTGTTCATTTCATCAGAGTTACTGTTTTTATTCATTTTAACTCCAAATCGCTTGGTAATGTTCCAAAATTCACCTCACTAACTTTGGGTGACTAGGGTCCGTTCGAGTGAAAAAATATAAATATAGCGATTTACCAGTTAATTCACCGGTACATACTTTCTAAAACCGCCTAATTACCTCATCATCTGGATTATTCGCAACAATTTTGACCACCAAATTGCTGGGTAGATTACCGTGTATGGGATGACCATTGAGCCAGAGGTGAGGATAAATCAACCTTAATTGTTTTTCCAATGTTTTGTCCACGGTCCAGCACCCAAATTCAATAGGGTTACAGCCCAGACGCGCTTTCCTTTGCCACACCTCGGAATACGGTTGGCATTTTTCGCTCGAACGGCCCTACTTCAGAATTCAGCGCAAAATGATGAAACATCAAGGTCAAGATTCCAAGGTCTACTGATCTACCATTCAAACAAAAAAAGAAACTTGGCAAGCTCTGATCATGAAAATTTCCTCCTTATGATATACAATAATTTTACTTAATTTTGAATAACCTGTGCATTTTCTAGATCAATGAAGCAATTTTACTAGAGATTTTTTTTTTTCTCCAGGGCCAACTTTGCAGCCCTCCAAAGTGATAAAACTGCCATAATTCTGATACCATATAGTGGATATATAGGACACAAGTCATGGCCTACAGATCTACCAACATACCAAAACTTGGTAAAAAGTTCTGATCATGAAAATTACTTCCATGTTCTTATGATATACAATAATTTCACATCATTATCTGTACTATTAGTGACAACATTTTGTATAAACTGTGTATTCGGTACAATGAAGCTACTTTACAAAAGAATCTTTAACATTTTTTTTCTCCTGAGCGACTTCGTGGCTCTCTAAAAATTTCCCATAGTCTTAAGTGATAAAATCTGCCATAATTCTGATATACCATATTTACTTGAAAAGAACGCCTTGGATTGTTTATTGTTGAGAATGGTTTTTGATGGAGGTGTTTATTTTTTACATGTATATTTTAAATACTCAAATAAACACCCTTAATTTCACTGTAAATGTCGAGCTACAATACATAATTACTGTCAAAATGTGTTATTGTTTGGTCATAAAGATCCCAGCCAGGGTAGAAAAAATGTAATTCTACTGTAGTAGAACATTAATAGAATGTGTTGAGAATGATGTACTTCCATTAGATTTGTTTACAGTCAGTGGGGTGGGAGGGGCATTTATTTGAGGAAAAACAAATGCCTCGGGGCATTTGAGGGTGGTGTTTATTCCAAATGAGACTCTAGAAGGAGTATTTAATCTAGGGGGCATTTAATTGAATTAGTACTATATATATATATATGTATTTATACATATATATATATGTATTTATATATATATATATGGTATATATATATATATATATATATATATTTATTTATTTATTGACTTGGCATTGTAATGGTTGAAGATACTGTTCCACTCTTGGCAGTTTATTGATTTTTCCATTGTGGGATTTCATATGATATTGACTATAACACAAACTTCTTGCACAGTGTTTAAATTTAACTACTGAATAATCATCTGTCTTTTATAGAATAAATAATATGGAGTTGAACAGATGTTTGATGTCTTTACTTAACCTAAAATATTTCCACAGATAGAGAATCAGCAATGTCACATTTAGGTGCTACACAACTGTACATTTGGCAGCATAAGTGGTGTAAGCAGAGTTTGTCAATCCAAGCATCTTGTTGATTATAGCCTGGTTCTCACGAGAGCCTTAAGCCTGGTTCTCACGAGAGCCCTAGTATCCGGATCGGGAGCTAACTGTTAGCACCTGTGTGAGAACGCCCGATCGGTTAGCGCTAACCGTTAGCGGTATCCGGATACAATGAAAATACAATATAATGAATTCAGGTTAATTCTTTGCAGATACAAAGCGCTAGCACCCTACATTGCACCAGCTCAACACCCGCAGCAAGTATAGTAAATGCAACTGCCCAACCGCACAAGCAAATTTTCACTTGAAACAGTAGATAAAACATTAAAATTTTACAACTAAAACCGAATAATGTTTAAAGAGAGGGAATGAAACAAAAAAATAAAAAATAAAGAAAAATAAAATAGTTAAATTATAATCTATAGATGTAGGCCTACAAAAAAAATCAAATATCAGTACAGTTATAGTGTCCATAGAGAGAGAGAGAAAATCCAAAGTAGCGTTGTAGGCCCACGGGATACACATCATAACACAATTAACCACTACCACTCGAGTCTCGTGTATGCAGGCCTTTCGCATTTGCTTTATTATACTTATTAGATAATAGACCTATGTCTATGATTAAATCGTTTATTAGGAATTAAGTAAAAGAATGGAAGTGGGCAGGCCACATTTCATTGTGTGTACTCAGGAGAGATTATGGAGTACGGTAATGGAAAGTTGCGATTATGGTAAAGTTTCACATGGAAAATAAACAAATAGAATATGTAGTAAAAAGGGGATACTGAAATATATAAAATAAAAATTCAAAAACACAAAAAAATTATACAATATTTCACAACCAAGCGAAATTGATTAGGCTGTTCAGTTCTAGCATATGCTATATGTTGCACGGCCTGTTGCATAGCCTACATACAATGTAAAGTTAGGCTATTATATATCCTCTGAAATCGATAAAATAATTTAACACAGAGAAATAGATGACACACTGAAGACAAACAATTATATCGATCATTTTAACACTTTAAAAGTCGTTTTTATATAGGCTATTATAAGCCGAAAAATATCTTCAAAATTTTTTTTTTTTTTTTGGGGGGGTGGGGTTGTATGTTTTTTAAGTACATGTCTTTATATTGATTCCCATTAGGACTATGAGTTGGGTAATAGGCCCTGAGTTCTACAAACTATAACAAATGTAGAACGTCGTTCCATGCCAGAATACGCAAGTGACGCTAATAAGCTGGCTCATTTTGACGAGGAAATACATCATGGTGAAATAAAATGTAGGACTTATTTCAAAAATACCAAAACAACTGCAAGATCATGAAAGATAAAATTATTGTTTCATGAGGCCCCTATATTCAACATGTTAAAATTGTCTAATCTGAAAATGGTCCAGGTATATCGAATCATTAGGACTATTTTTCAAAATTGTAATACCAATAATCAGATTAGATTTTTTTGACGACGATATTAAAAACTGACGATTTCGCCGTGTCTTACAATCTCTTATTTTTATATAATATATACAGTAGATTATATAGTTATAGTAGCTCCATAAATTTACATTTTTTACCAAAATGGAGGACGTGTTCTTGTGTTCGAGTCCGCCACTGATCAAGGTTTTAGCGCATATGCCTAGAGACGAATGTTTAATATGCGCTATAATAGTTAAGTTATCCCCAGTTATGGAGCAAATAAATACAGGAAAGATCACTTTTGAGACTGGGGGTTTCATGGTCTTTAGCAGCTTTGGTCTGTGATTAGAGTAATGGCCGGCAGTGGAACAGCGTTGAAATACGTCTTACGGAATTACAAATTGGGGCCTTGATAAGGAAACAGAGAGGAAAAAAAATACAAGGAGAATGAAGAATGTTAGGCACTGGTGTTGCTTACGTCAATACTGTTTGTTACATATTACTATACGCGGACACTGACGTCACGCTGCTAAAGGGACAACATCGTAATGGCCTTTAACAAATTGCCAAGAAACGATTTTAAAGTTGATTCTTTTACTAGTGACATTCAAAGATCCCCTCTAGAAAAAAATCATCTTTCTAGTTCCCATTCAAGTTCAATATCAAGTGAAATTCTGAAGATGTCAGAAGTGGTCTTCCTGTTTTTGCTGTAAAACTTTCTGTTTTGACTATATAGGCTATAATTTATGTGCGATAATGCTATTAACCAAGATTATTCATATCGCAGTAGATACTTTTGGTAAAAGATTGTATATTTCCTTGATTTTGGGATATCTGTCTCTTATACACATCTAGATGTGTATAAGAGACAGATATTTATACAATAGATTACAGTATATAGTTTCACACATGAAATATTTAAATATAAGCAACAGCATTAAAATTAGTCACAAATCGTGGCCCGAAGTCGGGCCTCACAATTTTCAAATGAAAAAAAAAAAGAATTATATATTATATGCGATACATGAATAACATACAATGGGTTTACATTTTTTAACAAAGCTTATAGACATTGTTCGATTTATTTCCTATGGACCATTATGCCTGTAATTTGAAAAAGTAGGTATTATTGGAAGCAGAGGGGAAAAGCATTTAAAATACAAAGTGATATTATTTAAACATTATATGGACATGGATATAGTCATCATAACAATAAACAAGCCTACACTACATTTGACCTTAAAAATTAAATTGAGAAATTGTAGCTGGAATTATAAAACAATGTGTCAAACTGAGGAGGTAAAACATTCAAAATACAAATAAATTGCATTCGTATACATAATAAAAGATGCATGATGAGAGATACAATGTTATACAATAGGCCTATGTGTTCGGTATAAAGTATGCAATTTCCGTATAAAAGGCATTGATTGTGTGAACGATGACATAGGACAGAAATACGGTATATAGGCTTATGTATTTATACAGTGAACCCCTATGGGACCAGAAAGTGTCCCCTTATATAGTGATGTATCCTGAATAGGGGTACCCAAAGGGGACACTAACCAGAAACGTGAAATTGTTCCCTTATAATAGGGGTTTTGGAAAGTAGTCATATAAATTAGGACATATAGATTCTTTAATTTTATTTCAGTTGACCGACCTACGAACGAGTTACAATATAAATTAAACTAAGTTGTAACAATAATTTGCAATGCAAATACAATACATTTATGATGAAATCAAAATAAATTTAATTATTGTAAAACAACAAAAGAGGTATAGGCCTATTGTTCCAGATTCCAGTGCTATGACAGATACAACAGAATAAGTAGAGTAATGACTTAGAAATCATGTTCCGGTATGGATTTTAATCCATAAAAGTATACAAGGTTAAAAACCACCACAAGATTAAGAAATCTTATGTGAATGCATGCAGGAAAAAATATCCCACGATTAGCCTAGTTTATACAAATAACACCGATATCCATTTCAAGGACCATGAAAAATTATTCATTTTATCGTTCAAAAGTTGTCAAAACATAAATTTGAATAAATACTGTCATTTTGAATCTATTGTAGTTGTAAAAATTAGTGATATGGTAAAAAAAAAAGTTTACCCTTAGGGGTTGAAAATGTATTGATTTGACAATTTGGCACGCTCAAAAAGTGTACGGTTCTCGCCCTCTTAATAAAGATGTGAAACTTAATAGGTGCCAGTTGTAGTGTCAAAAGATATATTTCCCTTCATTTCATGTAAAAGTGTCTCTTAATAGGGGTGTCCCTTAAATAATGGTGTCCCTAAGGAGGGGGAAGGGGGTTCTACTGGATGTTTTAGTGGCGTGTTCTGATACAATATCCAGTTGTTCATGATGACACTGATCATTAGTATGTAATTATAACGAATATTGTATCTGGAATTATAAAAGAATGTGTCTGTGGAGAAAACACACTTTAATATACAAATAAATGGCATTCATATACATACGGTAATGAACGATACATGATTAGATCCATACAATTTTATACAATAGCCCTATATATTGTTTGGTAACGCATGAATTGATTGTGTGAATGATCATACAGGACAGAAAAAGATAGATATTACGCATTATTACATATATTTAAATATGTTTTAGTGGCGTGGTCTGATGTGATATATATTATTTTTCATGATGACATTGATAATTATTAATAATAATTATAACGAATATTGTATCTGGAATTATTTATGTGTCTGTGGAGAAAAATCATTTAAAGTACAAATAAATTGTATTCATACAAAATAAACTATACATGAGTAGATCAATACAATTGTATACAATAGGCCTATTTTATATATTGTTTGGTTCAACGCATCAATTGATTGAATGTGTGATTTAGGACAAAAATAGGTCAATATTACACATCAATACATAGGCTTATTTATTTAAATATGTTTTAGTGGCGTGGTCCAATGCAATATCCATTTGGTCATGATGACATTAATCATTATTATGTAGTAGTAGGCCTAATTATAACAATATTGTATCCGGAATTATAAAACAATGTGTCTATGTAGAAAAAAGATTTAAAATACAAATAAATGGCATTCATAAACCTAATAAATGATACATGAGTAGATCCATTAAATTGTATGCAATAAGCTTAGGCCCTATATATATTGTTTGGTAACGCATGAATTGATTGTGTGAACGATGATAATGAATACGGCAAATATTACCGTACATAGGCTTATATAGGCCTATTTAGGTATGTTTTAGTGGCTTGGTCTAATACATGTCATGATGACATTAATCGTTATTATGCAGTAGTAATTATAACGAATATTGTATCTGGAATTATTAAACAATGTGTCTGTGGAAAAAAACATTTGAAGTACACATAAATAGTATTCATACATAATAAACGATACATTATTAGATCCATAAAATGTTATTTATACAATAGGCGTATTGTTTGGTATACATGTAATTTTCATGTAAATGCATTGATTGTGTGAACGATGACATTGGACAGAAATATGGTAATTATTACACATTACATTTAATGTATTAAAATATGTTTTAGTGGTGTGGTCTGATGCGATATCCGTGTTTGTTAACGGGGAATTCGATTACTTACATTTCGTCTCCGGTATTTATATTTGTAGGCTCATAGGGAATAGGATTGTATTTGTTGTTATAATATGTTACATTTCTTAGACGTATGTTTATTGTATGTTTATACGTTACGATGTGATTTTTGTTTTTGAGAATTACCAAAATTAGGCGCCAGATAAGATGATGGAATTTTGAATGCGTTTTGGTCTGATTTTTTCTTGTCTTCTGCTTTACGATGGTTTCTTCGTCGCCTCGTAAGTTCAACACAAGTCATGAGGAATCCAGCAAAGACAAATAGAATTCCAGATATATATATGGTTAAACTGTACGATCCTGATTTGTCAAATGGCGTATCTGAGGGGAAAACGTTGCAACACTGACGTGTTTAAATCTGATTTTAGTAATCCTTATTACAAGACTAGCCTAATTCATAAATGCATACAATCTTCCTAAAGCAATGTAATAATAAATTCCATTGAAGTATGTTGTTTACAAGGTAGGCCAATGCTCTTAATTAGCTACCAAGAGCAGATGTGATCCATATGCCAACATAAATAATATGTATGATTAACTTTATAAATAATTTATGTTATCTTCGAGTTCTGTACTTCATATTTCATGCGAAAAAATATCTTATAGAGTAGGCCTAAGGGCCAAATAATTGAAAAAGTGAATATCTACTTGCTAAAGTTTGCAGTAGGCTTATGCATGCTATAATTGTATCTATAATATCCAAAGATGATTTTGCAGAAAGTTGTTGGTGACTTTAGCTCCTGGTGGTTATGCATTTCTCTTCGTTATTCTCTTTGTTTTCGTTATTGATGTTGTTGACTGTCAGTGGCGTGGCGGATTCAGGAATTCAAAATAAAGGGGGCCCGGGGATGTACTTTCACAGATGGAGGATCTATACCACCTCAACCCTACCATAGTTAGGGCTGTGGTAAGACCATTTGTGAATATGGCACCTCTAGATGACCGGAAATTGCACCCTCAGACTTCAAATTTTAATATAATTTTCTTTATAGGCCTATCTCCATTTTTGAACAATTTTTGAATCCGCCACTGATTGATTGTACAGTTGGTGTACTTATTGTTGTTTTTTTCGTTGGTGTTGTTGTAGATGATGATGATGTTATTGATTGTTGTTAGAGATTCATGTTTTTGTTTATCAAAATATGCATAGGCTACATTATTGCCCATGGGATTAGTAAAATAATGTAGCATTGTGCATGAATATTATCGCACGTCTATTAAAATTGATATCTGTGATACTGAAGGATGTAAAGTTTTGAACCTACAGTAGGTAATTTAATATTAACATACAATTTCCGACAGCTCCAAGGTACGTATTCTACAGTTTGCGTGAAGTTACCACAAATTACTTGATGTATAAGCCAGTCGTTTGCATACTGATGGCTTTTATCGTCAGGCCTATACAAAATCATTCCAATCTCCTGCCTCCTCCTCTTTCTCCTCATCATCATTATCATTGTCGTCATCATCATCAACAACAACATGTTATCACCTGCATATCGGTAGGCCCATATTGTCGATCACCAACTCTACTCATCAACATCAACGTCATGATCATTACCATCATATGATCATCATCATCATCATAATCTTCATCATCATCATCATCATTATCGCCATAATCATCCGCATATCGATCAAATAGAGTGTATTTTGCAACCAGAAAATGCAATTTTATCCTCGCGCTGAGCAGCGTGACCACTCACAATTTTTGATATACCCAATGACTGGGTCGAAATTATTACCCAAGATTCAGCAAAAATTGCTCAAAATTACCCAAGCTTCCTGAAAATGCATTAAAATTTGAAAAAAACCCCCGTGTTTTTCGCATGTATAGTTTCCCTTTTAGTTCAATTTATTAACCATTTTTTATTGTAATTGTTTGTGTTAATTATGAAAATTAATATTCATGAGGTGATAATACGGATAGAAAAATACGCCCTCAGTCGGCCAGTGTTATCAGTGATCAAGTTTTATTATGTAATGCGTTAATTAGGTAAGATCAATGGCAACGCAAATCACAAAAAACAATTCTGAACCCATGTTTATAGCAATTAACAATGTTATGTGCACTTCGTTGAGTTTTGCTTACTTGAATGGACTGAAATATACTTTGTTACTTCTTAATTCTTCCTCTATGACAAAAATATTTAATTTTCTTAGTAAAAATAAAATACCCAAGGATTTGAACTGAATACCCAAGAACCCAAAATACCCAAGATCTTGGTTAAATACCCAAAAGCAGTGGTCACACTGGCGCTGAGGCCTTGATTCCCTTATCAGCTACACATGAGTCATCCTTGGAATATTGCATTATACTGCGGGGTACACAGAACTATAGACTCAGGAATAATATCTTACCAGCAGCAAACACGGGCAGCTATAGTGACCATATTGATAGCGTTTAAAAGCTAACAAAATGATATACATAAACAAATCATAAAAAAACACGCCTAACCAATCCTGGCTCAATGCAAAATGCGTCTATGGAAAATTGACCATTCGGACCCTCCTTTCAAACGGTAATTTGTAAAATGACAGGCCCTTTTTTCAACCAATCAAAATAAAACTTACATCAGAAGAATCTATGAATATGATAATGTTTCTTTCTAGCAAGTGTACAAGAATCTTTTCTTATGGTGAATGCTCAGCAAAGCGATTTGAAGACAACCGAACCCTCTGAAAATCGAGAAAAATGGCCTTTGACACGGGCTCCGGTCATTGTAGTTGCTTACGAAAAATGCTAAATGACAGGGACTTTTTTAAGCTTTTGAAATTCAAATAAAAACAACAAGTTGCCTAAATAACTGAACTATAACATATCGAAAGTACAGAATTATCTGACGACAAGTGCGGAACGCACGATGTACCGGTAAACACAACATTGGCCCGAAAAAAGCCCGCGGACACGTGCCTCCCGCTGTGCCAGTAGCTTGGTCGAAAATGTTGATCATAAGATCCACAACCACCATATCTACATCTCTTATCATCATCATCATCATCATCATCATCATCATTATCATCATCATCATCATCATCATCATTTAATCATCTTGAACAATCATTATCATCGTCTAAATTTAAACACGTCGTATGATGATCATGATATTGATCGTTATCCAAATAATGGCTGTTTAATTTTTGTTTGGTCTCATCGTCAGCAACACTGCAACTAAACATTATGTTCATCACGCCACAACAAAATAAAAGGCACTTTAAATAATGATGTGTTGATATTTAATAATTTATGAAGCATAATGCCAGAGCTTCTATGCACTTTAAGCAAACAGAAAAAGAAAAAAAGTAAGGGAATGAGAATACAGGTAATAAAAAAAAAATCAAAAAGAAATACCTTAAAACTAATAGTACCACTACAAACAGTGAAATCCATTACATAATTCACAGCGTGATATGACAAAAATGTATTCAAAGCAAACGTCAGGAAAAAATAATAAAAATGTGAAGAAACTTATAGTGGATCAAGAGGCGCGTCTTCAAAACAGACTTGAAAGTATTAACATAATAATAAATATGCTTACTATGTTTTAAAAAGTAATACCGGTACATAATTATTGAAAACTACAGTATTTTTTATGTTAAACAGTAAAAGATTTTAAAAATCCTGCTGGAATATATTCTTAAGCTTCACATAGTTGAAGATGATGCTCGTGTAATGACCATTAAAACTGATAGTAAAGACCAGTTCAAGTTAATTGGTTTGTTAAAATGGAAAATGTATCACAGCCTATACATACGGTAGTGTTTATAACCTACCTGATAATAGAGGTCCAGCCAGATTTGCGAAACCTGTCACAAAATATGCGATTGAAATCGCCTCAACCGCGCTTTTCTTGCCAAAGAGCTCAACCGCAACGGGTAGTATCATGCTATATACTGTTCCTCGTGGAATACTTAAACCTGGATAATAAAAGTTGGATATATAAAATGTCTATGTAAAGCGGTAGGCCTATGTATGGGTGAAAGTGATGCAGGGTGTTAGTGTGTATTGAACTGTTAGAAAATATTATTATTATTATTATTATTATTATTATTATTATTATTATTATTATTATTATTATTATTATTATTATTATTATTATTATTATTATTATTATTATTATTATTTATTATTATTATTATTATTATTATTATTATTATTATTATTATTATAGGCCCTATATATAATGCTGATAATGATAATAATGAAGATGATCACCATATTAATGATGATGGTGATGATGCCGAAAAGGAATCACGATGACTATGTCGTTATTGCTGTTGTTATTTTTGTTGATGATGATGACGATAATGATAATAATTATGCTTTATTTCAAACTCAGGCATCGACTCATGTGTTCGTCCACAAGAATGTAGGTTGAACAGAAACAAAAACCACTAAATAATGCAACAAGACACCAGCTAGAGTAAAATATCCTATAGAAAAATTAATATAGAGTGAGGTAAGTATCAAACCATCTTTTAAAAACACTAATCAAACTGAAACAAGATTAAGTCAATAAAAGGGTTGATTTCTGAGCAAATGTATGATTTTACGGAAAATTTCGATGGAAAAATATTTTCATATTTTGGAAAAACATTCTCCTTTAGTGTTTATCGTAATTGTTATGATATAGTGTATATTCATTTTGTGTGTCATTGTCTATTGTGTAAAAATAGTTGGAGCCTCTTGCTCGTAGTCATAACACTTTCTTTAAAAGTCCATAACGTTTTGATTGATTTAAACAAATACATAGGCCTACTGTAAATGCACTAAAAACATAATGAAATAGGCCTACAGTATATAAAGTATTTTATACCGAATACATAGATTCTAGGAATTTGGTTGGTTGAAAGTCGGGTAATTGTTCAAGCCATGCCCTTTTAGCCGGTCAATCAATGTAGTGGTATTTAAAAGAAAAATTTACTGGGATTTTAATCGGGTCATAGTTGAAATTATAGCCCTTGATGATCTTTAGGCTGTACTATGGCCAGCCTCCAGTAAATATTTGATACTATACATTAAAGTAATACCTGCTATTATAAGACTGGTTACAAAAGTTGATTTTGATATTAACAGAAAAAGCATAAGCATTCCGCCAAAAAATGAGTTGAATGCGTAAACGAGTGTTCTGGAAATACAAATGTTGTCAGTAGCGAAAGCCATCAAAAGGCGTCCCAGCAAATCTCCGACCCCCATCAATGTACTGGTGAGCGTGATCTGTCCGTCATTTGCCCCCAGTATTCTCATATAATTACCCTGCAATAGATAATATTAACTTATTTATTAAAAATAAATATTGGATATATTCTACCTTATTAATAGGTCCATGGACATACCAATAAATAACTGTAAAATGTATAAAATGGAAGGAAAAATAGACACAACCGAAGACCTCAAACATGTAAGTGGCAATCATTTTTTTGAATGATTAGTAATGTAACTGAGTAACGAACAAGTCAACAACGATAACTAAATTATGCAAACTATAGATTTACGATCAAGGGCCAACATGACGTATTCGGAGATATAGGTAAGGGTGATGGAAAAAAGGCGGATTATATTAACAGGAAGATGTCTAACAACTGTAATGGACCATTCAGATTGTCATTCAAAACGACTGACCAATCAGAACAGGGCAGGAATTGGCGCTTGTCCGACAACACACTACCGTATGTCCCACAAACTTACATAATAGGCCTACGGTACTTAATTTTACGCTGTGGTTTTGTAGAACCTCCTCCTTAACAATATCTAATGGGCGAAATTAGCGAAACGTCCGATTATCGATTAAGAAAATCCCCGTATTAAGAGCAATCGTACATATAGTAGATACTCACAACACTGATATATAGAAACTGGACAACCAGAGTGCAGGTGAAGAACACAACTTGAGTCGACCAGAATAAAGGACACTTAACAAGTGACTTGATTCTTTTGATAGCGCTAACCTTGTCCTTCCCCTTGAAGTCATTCTGTGTGATGCTCTCATCTCCGTCTTTGGGCTTGAAGTTTGGCGGAAGATAGAAGACGTATGAGCATAATAGTCCCATGACTCCGTACGCCGCAGCAATTACTCGGAGACTCTGTCGCCAGCCTAAGTGAGCGAATATCCAACTTATAGCTGGTGAATTGACTATCAGACCTGCAAATAAAAAAACAATACTAATTAGAATAGATTTACTCTTAAAAATATATTGATAATTCATATATCATTATATATATATATATATATATATTGCTAGTGATAAGACTGTGTATAACCTATTGTTTATAGATCTGGTGATTAATCACCCATTGTATATTCTTATGTATTCTGTTAAGTTTCTCATTGATACTCATGCGCTGACGAAGGTAATAGGAGTTGCCGAAAATTTCGCAAATAAAATATTTCTACGTCTCTTACAAATCAAAGTATCGTAGCAGTTTATTTTGTCTGCGTCTACCTACTGATTTATTCTTACGATGAGACATATTTGGATCTACATCAACAACACCGATTGAATATGAATATATATATATATATATATATATATATATATATATATATAATGCATAATAATCAGTGCTCAAATATATATATCTTGTACAAAATGAAAAAAAAAAATTTTTACATGAAATTTAAATACAAATAAATAAACCGGCACTTTACAGCTGATGGAGGTACCGCGTAGGTACCGAAAGCTACTGAAAGAAATTAAAAACCATTGACTCTGAAAGGTAACATTTTCTATTATAGTTTACAAATACTTTATAGCCCACCTACTCCAATACCAGAGAGTCCTATTCCAGTTGAGAGGCTGACGTATTTCACTTCAAAGCACAATACAATCATGTGAGCAGCCGTCAAACATACCACGTTAGTCGCGAACCCAACCAGCCCACCGTACACGAAAGCTATCACTGACAAGTCCTTCAGGACTGATGTTACCAAGTTGCCAATGGCAAAACACACAACACCGATCAGGATGGCGTTACGATGTCCAGCTCTCATGAACAGGGACGCCGTCAAAGGCGATGCGAACCCGTAGACCGTAAAACTAATCGCGCCTGGTAAACCTTTAAAAGAGTAAAACAAATATAATACAAATTTTATTTTAAAAAAAGAGAAATGATTTGTTATGTGGCTGTAATAATTGTGTTTCGATATGAATAATTTGTGTTACATTTTAAAAAATACTATCCATCCCGAATGCAATACACCCACCCTGATTCGTCTGCGTCTGCAACGCAATCGGAAAAGTTGAACGCACATAATGGGGTCCCTGAGTGGGCAGGGTCATGGGAAGAGAACGTAATGTTTGCTTGTTCCGTCGCTGGAAGACTATTTTAGACGTGGGGCGAGGGGTGGGGATGGGGTGGTTTGCGGTAGTTCTAGGGTTCTTCTAGCATCGGAAAGTTTTGTTTTTCTAGACGCTGAGAAATGCACTTAAGTGCATTGCGAGACTTCTATTGATGAATGAATACACACTAAATTAATAGATTTTTTCCCATTTAGCATGGACAATTAATAATTGTGATGAAGATGATGATGATGACGATGCGATGATAATAAGGAGGTGGAGGAGGCATCGTAGCAGGTGACGACAGGCTCCTGTGCAAGGTTAATTAACAGGTCCTTTGATATGAGTGTCAACCGAGGCCCGTATCTCGAGTTCGTCGTTACATATTCAGTGCACGCAATCGGACAACAGTAATTAAGTTATATAATCAGTACCTTCTCGACTGTCGTGAAAATATCATATCTAAAAAATTTCGTTAAATGCATGCTTGGAAGCGAAAATTTTAACCTAAATGTTTGATATATGTTTCATGTTGTTTGTTGAATGGTCTTTAATGATATTATGTTCAAGACCACAACATAAGGAAGAACATTGTGTCACCTACAAAGTTCAGACCCATACACATTTATATTTCCTTAGGCCTAAATCATAAGGAAGTCCGCTCTATATCCAAATTTCAGGAAAGTATACGTTTTATGCATGTTTTATGTTGTTTGTTGAATGGTCTTCTTTGAAATATTACAGTCTAATATGACCATAACATAAGGAAGTCCATTCTTTAAATGTTTAATAGATAGTACAGAGAATTATGATTGTTTATCTAATTCATTATACACATGCTAAATCCAATTAAAAAAAAAAAATTAAAAATATACGTTTTCAGTGCACGCGCCGACGTGGAAATATTAACCTAATAATCTTGTTAATAATGCGGTTCTAAAATTCATCTTATGACCACAACTTTTAAGTTGTAACTTCAGAAAAAATAATAATGCATTTTTATTGTACCGCCACCAGATGGGAAAGTAATTAAATACGCATAAATGTCTTCTGTGATAGGTTGATTGCCAAATTTTCAATGCTTAGTGGTGGACGGTCGGATATAATACGTAACTCTCACAATAATTTCATATTTCGAATAATTGTTTGGAGTATATGATCACGTTCCATGATAGATTACATCCACAGGGTGCCCCTAAGACAAAAATTCAAAATTGAATACATTGCGTTTTTCCGAATCAGTAGATTTATTAGGCCTACTGGTTAAAATGTAAAAATTTAAGATTTTATTTTTAAATCACAGAAAATCACAAATTTATATTCAAGACTGTCTTGAAAATGTGGACCTTATCAAATTTGGTTGGGTGCGTTATACACACTCTACGTAACACCCCATCTACTGGATATACGGGCCTGGAAGCTTGACATGTTACTTGCTAATTAATGCAGTATTATACGCTTATTTGATATCTTCTCAATTTCTCAGTATTTAAAAAAAATTCTTTTCCCACTTCCAACACTGTATGATTTGAAATTTACATACCATTCACGTCGTTGCTCTTCTTCTGATTCTGTGTTTATTTTCAGTCTCTCAGTGCTCGGTGGTCATTTTTGACTTTCTATCTAAGTGTGTTCGTAAGTTTTAAGCTCTATGTCTACAATTAGGCTACCAACTCCATTAAAGACTTGTTTTTTGTTTTTTTGTTTTGTTTTGTTTTGTTTTATTTTTAACGAATAGCATTCGTTAAAATAATGATACAAAATCTGATATGTTTACATTGGTAGTGGTGTTGCCAGACCTCAAGTTTCCACCTCAATTCTCTACCCTACCCCTCAGCCCCACCCTAATCCCCAGTCATGGCCTTATCATTCCTATATTAAAAGCTTAGTATAGGCCTAGACCCAGAAAAAAAGAAAAACAAAGACATTTTATACTGACAAATACACTTTAGGGTACAGATTTTTTCCCCGCTCCCCTCTGTGCATGCACCAATTCTTCCCCCCCCCACCCCACAGCCATGTCAATATATAATACTGGCTTTGAGGGGGGAAGTAGGCTATACCTACTCTAAAACCATGTTGCTACAGAATGAAAACCCTTTATATATAATTGCGGTGTTGCCAGACCCCGACATAGGCCTATATATGCTTTCATCAAATACCCTTACCCCTACCAGTACCCGTAACCACCTCCATCCCCTGCCCAACATCAATATATTTATTTTATCTAATAATCAACACAACTTTGTGAAAACAGTGTACTGACAGTATAAAAAATCAAATCCAGGACCTTTTTAATGTGTGGGAATATGTGTCTGTTTTCCCCCATCCCATATGATAGTTTTGACATATCTAGTATTAAATTAATAGAATGCACAGTTAGCTTTCGGTCAGCTGGGAAATGTTCCTTTATATATTTGATTTTTCCAACCACTTATAACAATTTATTATAATTAATAGTGAATATATAGTTAAATGAAAATTTAAATATTCATTAATAATGAACATATAGTAATCTTTTTATTCTTTTTAAATACTTATAACTAATTTATTATTTAATTAAATATAAATTCAGAATTGATGTAAATTTATCCGGATCGGGAGCTAACCGTTAGCGTTAACCGACACCTGTGTGATAACGCCCGATCGGTTAGCGCTAATCGTTAGCGATCCGGATACCGCTAACGGTTAGCAAGCGCTATCGGTTAGCTGGTTGAGCGCCTTTCTATCATCAACCAATCACACGTACGCGTTTACAATTTCCAGTTTCTTATTGGCCAGTTATTTGATCATCCTATTCTTGGTATCGGAATCGGGATCTTCTCGTATGGACGCACGGCAGCTAACGGTTAGCAGGATCCGGATCCTGCCAACCGTTAGCTGCCGTGTGAGAACATAGCCTAATTTGTGGTCGAAATGTTAGAGATGGAACCTTCAAATATAACGAAGCAGGTGTGGTTAATATTTTCATAGGCCTTACTGAAAACAATTTAGCCATAGTCCTACTATATTGGCTGGTACATTTTAGTATTGGGGTAGGGGATAAAGCCTGGCCCAGGGTTTATCAATCTCAGCTTAGCAAATATTATCTTACGTCAAAAAATTAAGATGCAGAATCAGGTGTGGTCAATATTTTCATAGGCCTTACTGAAAACAATTTAGCCATAGTCCTACTATATTGGCTGGTACATTTTTAGTATGGGGGGTAGGGGATAATGCCTGGCCCAGGATTTATCAATCTCAGCTTAGCAAATATTATCTTACGTCAAAAAGTTAAGATGACCCTAAGCAAATACCTTAAGCAGTTTTATCAACCCATCTTATCAAACTCTTAGCTTGAACATCGTCTTAGATGGCGCATACGTACAATCGACTTTTTAATTTTAAGCAATCCTTAATCTAAGCAATATTTATAAATTTTACTTAAGAAAAAAAATGGACGAATTTAAGCTGATTTCTTGTTTGATAAATCCAGCCCCAGAGCTGTAAATTCGTCCCTGCCTCTGGGGTGAAGCTATTATCAAGGAGTAACAGTTCAAGGGGAGGATTGCCATAATATCACATAGAGCCCCGCTTTGATCACCTGTCTAAATGACCTAAGAGGTGTATTCAAAAGCTCTTTTCGTCCTATGCTGGATTCGCCACTGGGTGATGTTGAGGTGTCACTATAAACCACACAATATGTCGGGGTCTGGCAAAACAGCAACTTATATACCAGGGTTATTATTCTGTGCAATGTAAAAACAATGTGGAGGATTTAAACACAAAGCTCCACGCAGTGTTGTACCGTTTTTGGTGACACGTTTAAAAGCTAAACGTGTTTAGACATAGCTAAATTGCTTAGGATCTTGACGTGTTTAGCATTAAATGTGCTTAGGCATTTGACATCATGTTGTCATATACCTAAGCACCTTTAATGCTAAACACGTCAGAAACCTAAACACATTAGGCCTGGCCTAAACACTTTCGATTTTAAACGTGTTACCCAAAACGGGACAACATTGCTTGGAGCTTTGTGTTTAAATCCTCCATGCTGTTTTTACAGTGTAGCAACATGGTTTTAAAGTAGGTATAGCCTACTTGCCCCTTAAAACAAATTAGATATTTACATGCTAGGGTGGGGGGGGGGAGGGATGGGATTGGAAAGTGAATTTGTCAGTGTACAGTGTTTTTTTTTTCTGGCTATAGGCATATACTAAGTTTTTAATATATGAACGATATAGTAGGGTCATGACTGGGGATTAGGGTGGGGCGGAGGGGTAGAGCAGATCATTGAGGAGGAAACTTGGGGTCTCGCAACACCACTACCAATGTAAACATATATCAGATTTTGTATTCTGTACGCTGTCATAATATTTTTGACTTTAAAAAATAGGAATAAGGATGGGAGTGGGTAATTTTAAGGGGTCTTACATCACCTCCACAACAAAATATCAGGTTGGATTTAGGTTTTTAATGATGTACACCGATAATATGCTACTTTGTTGAGGAGAAAATTGGTCCATGTTCTACATGTATGACATTTTATGATGTATGATATTTTAACTTGTTATATTGAATATGATTACTTTATTGCAATTCTGTTTTATTGTGTGTTCAACTTTTGTATTTTCTGTGTGTTGACTTTTTATTATTAACTTTTTTCTATTTTACGTAGTATATCAAACAACAAATTTCCAATTGTATGTTTTATATAATTTGGACAATAAAAGTTTCTGAATTTTGAATTTTGAATTTGAATGTGGTAAATTTCTCTACACTGTCATATTTAGGAAGTTTTGCCAATGCATTAAGATAGGAACGTAGCTGGGTAAATTGTAGGGGTCTTACATCACCTTCCCAACTTCCTATTGGGTACGATTTAAGTTTTTTTTTGTGATGTATACCGAGAGTAATTTGTTGGGAAAAAGTTGGTCCATGTGCTACATGGGGTGTGTTTTCTCTATACTGTCATACTTAGGAAGTTTGGCAAATGCATTAAGATAGGAACTTGGCAAGGTGGGGGTACCTTGTAGGGAGTCCTACATCATCTTCCCAAACTGATATCATGTAAGATTTAAGTTTTTTATGATGTATACTCACTCACAGTACTTTGTTCTGACAAAATTTGATGTATGTGCTAGATGGGGTGAAATTGACCAGTTTTGGGGGTATTTCGAGGGGGTCTGGAGTCAGACCCAACCCCCGGGGTTCATCTTAAACACTTTGTTTCAATGTCTTTGAAGGCCTAACCCGATATTAGGGGTCAACCCTTCTAGGCAAAATGGGGTGAAATCTTATGTTGCTAGCTCTCTGCCTAGGGACACACTATGAGCGCAAACGAATCAGTATTCGCTCTTTATTTCGGAGCTCGACGACGACGCGACGCCGTCTGCTATTGTCGATGGCAGACTACAGCAGATTGGCGACAATTGTTGGAGACGACCGAACTGGTCGGTGTCGGCCAGGCGACGAGTTTGTCGGGCAGAGTTTGTAATGGGATACTTTTTAAAAGGGCGAATTGACTGGTATCCGTCAGTATTAATTTCCTGAAAAAATTTTACAAATTAAAAGCAGAGAGCAAAATCGTTTCTGGATATATAAATGTCTTTGTTATAAATATTTTCATTAGCACTCTAAAATTAATATTTTCAATTTGTCTGTGTTAGGCTAAACACAATTGAAAATGCAATATTTGAATTATTTTGTTTTGATTTTGATTACCTGAACTGAGAAGAGCCGAATATGTCGAAATTGTTTACAAGTTAATAACGATTTCATGTTATTTTCCTAAATGTTATGTACTTGAAGCGTCATGGGGCTGTACGGAAAGTACAAAAGTAATTATTTTGTTGAATTTATATGTTTGGCTATAGAAAATTAATTAATTGGCCCTATCAATGCGGCTTTCTATATACATTCAATAACAAAATTTCCTTACCGTTTCTGTTGGCTTCAGCTTCATAAGTGATCTATAATGCCTATATTAAATAGATTTTATCTAAACTTGTAAGAACTTGCTTGGACCTAGCTGAAACCGGTTTTTGTTGCTGGAGTATTCTATGGCTTTTAAATAAACCATAGAGCAAAAAACAGAATAGTCTTTTGGAAGTAATGTAGCCAATGTTTTTGTTAAGAGTTTGCTATTCGCTGATGACAATTGATGCGTGCGAGCACCAACAACCGTGACGACGTTTGTCAAGGCCTACCACCATCTAGCGACAGGCTATGTCTATTTAATTTTTCATTACATTATCAAATGTAATGGAAACAAAATACAAATTGCAAAGGAAAGCACACAAATAACATATAATAGACTAACGGAACGTACTACCTTGACGAGATGCAATAAGACTCCCTAATAATGTTATTTTACTTTTATTTTGTCATATCCCTTCCACATACAAACCCAACCCCCTGTCTCTTATACACATCTAGATGTGTATAAGAGACAGATATATATGTAAAATGTATTGGTAAATGTTAGAAACGTTTCTACCAGTCATATTTATATGTTAATACAGTAATTATGTTTATAAGGAATCTAGGTGTACACTGGATGACTGATTCGAAGATATAGGTGTACACTGGATGACTGATTCGAAGATATTTTTAGCTATAGATAGTTTTGTGCTGTAAGACTAAATGTTTTTATTTTGTACACTATTGACTCAGAAATAAGGTAGCTATTGTGTTGTGTATACTTTCCCATGCTTGATCGAGTATCTATTGTGATACACTAGGCCAGCGTTACGAACACGTCATGGGCTCAGAGTAACACAAATTCCGGGTTAATGATAAACTAGTAATCACTTATCGATAATAACGCGGTTAGAGCAATTCAGTTCTTCCAACATTGCAAGTGAACGACTGGCGTATGAGAGGATTTGATTATTTTACCCAGGGATCACAGATATCTGGCATTTAAAGGAAGTGATCAAGACCGCACCAACCCCTTTCTTTTATAACAAGGTAGGCTCACAAGTACACTGAAAGAAAAGGACATAGTAAAGAATAAGGTAAAAATATATTCTTGCCATGTAATGCAGGCCTACGTGTAAATAGAGGTCTTAAAAATTGAGATATGAATTTTGATAAGATACTGAGAACATGATTGAAGGCATTAATTATAGGCCCACGTTTTTCTTTTAGGTCCATCGATTTTATTATACACCTGATTATTTGTATTCAAATGTATTTTCATGTATTAGGCCTATATTGGAATTGTGCATGTTTATGTTGGGATAACCAAAGAAATACGGAATCTGTTCTTAGGACTTTTCTTATGACGTAACGAAATCTCTCTGCCTAATTAAGATCTTTAGAATGACCCCCCACATTTTGGGTAATGCCAGTAGCTTGTCTGTGGTAATTACATACGTCAGGCCATTAGTAATATGGGGCCTAATACAGGTTATCTTATTCAGTGTTGTTATCGCATTTAGGACTACGAACCAGACCAAAATATGGAGGTACATGCTGTACCTCCATATTTTGGATAATGACATGGATTTGTATTTCAAAACAGAATTATTGATCAAAATCGATGCATTGTTAAAATTCATTGGTGGCATGGCATCCTCGTAGTTGACGGTGAAGCCACCGCTAATTCCACGTACCTTTGTCACAATGGGCAAAGATCAGTGTGACAATAGGGTACCGTAGTGCAAAAATACTGTCGATGACGCTCTGTTATTAGAATCAAGGTATAGTATATATGGCCTACCTACACTAACTGTAGGCCTACATACAAAACTACTTTTGAGATTGATTTCAGGCCTAAGTTTTGTATTTCTACACAAAGCACTATAGGGTCGCCCGTATTCTCGAAAGCGGGCTAACTATAATCAAGGACTAACTGTAGTCTAACTAGTCCAAGACTCAAGTTAATCCTGGACTTTACTTTCCAGAATATGCGCCTAGGAGGTTGGCCTAAAAACATGAAATATAGACCCTGTACAGCTAAATCTAATGAGGAAATAATGCCGAATCATTCAGTGACTAAACCACCATTACATTGGGAAAGGGGAGGGGTAGTTTAAAAAGACTAATAAATAAAAACAGCAAAATTAACATAATACTTGCTATTACCATGAAGGAAAAGTGTTATTGCAATAATTTAACTTTCATTCTCAGTTTCATACCATGATTCTCAGTTAATCAGGCATTAAGTACACACTCATTTTTTTACAATACATCAGCCGTGTAGGCCTACTGTTTTGAACAATTGTTTCTATTATAGACTACACAGAATACCAATAATCATTGTTCTTTTCTTACGGAAGGCCTGTTAAACTGTGCTGTGTCTTTCAACGATAATAGTATGTTTGAATAGGTATCTATAAAAAAAAATAATAACAATATTAACATGGAAATTTCTTATGAAATTGTTGTACAAATGTACCGTATTGTTTGCGCTCACAAGGAGGCGAGGATGGGGTTTTGAGGGGAATCCCCTCCTAACCTTAGAAATTTAAATATACACATAAAGGCTGAAAATATTGTATTATTATAGGCTATGTTGATACCATTTTATAAATTAGGCCTATATACTATCAAAAATGGATATCAACATTATTCTGTCCACAATGCGTGATTCGTACACCACGTCATTGCGTGCATCGTTTGTAGTACGTCGCGTGCACCATTAATTAGACCTAATATTTGGTGCTTTAGGCCTACCAGAAGCCCCTGAAAGCTTCGCCAATCTAAGCATTATAAATCTGCCTGAGCACATTCTGGAGACACATAGGCCTAAAAAACGTGAAAAAAAAACAGACAATAGAGGTCCGGGATTTCATCCCCATCCCGCGAGAGTACCGACGTCATCCTGGTCTCTGGCTGTTATACAGTAATGTTTCATTTTCGTTTTTATCGTTTATTTTCTTTTATATTTTATTTGACAATTGACACGAAATAATTGGTAAAAATAAACAAGATAAACATACTATAATGTCAGAAAAGGTAAAATATCTGTATGTTACACTCTGAATTAAAACAACTTGTGCAGGTCATTGAAATTAATTACTGTATTATAAGTGCTGATGTTTATCATTGTCTAGTTTGCTCATACGAAATGGTTGCATATCAAATCGCATGGAGATAATAACTCATGTTTGTCTAGCTAGAATGCAGGAAGCAATGTAAGATGGGCGGTACATAGAACATAGACTGCTCATTAATTACTTTCCTCTATTTCAAATTAAATTAACCATTAGACGGGAGCAGGATTTCTTTATTTGGCATTAGGTACCGGGTATCGTGGACTAACGCAAGTCACACGATGCAGGCTTATAGCCATCTAGACAAACATGGGTTTAACCAAAAGACATATTCTACGAGAAAGGTTCTAATAATAAAATATTACTCTGCAAGTTTTAGTAAACTAAGAATCGACGATTTTTACGTCAAGAAAATCCTCTCTGTGTTTGTGTGTACCACTCTCATATTATTCATAATATAGTTGCATGGTTGGTCTACAATATGTTACTCCGTGCACCTCCCATTTACGTCACGTGTATTCACACATCAATGACGTCATTATTTGTGACACAATACATGTGCTTTCGTTAAAAAGCAGTATGGAAATGACTAATATACGAAACAAAGTAGAAACATACTTTAAAATTATAAAAAGATACGTTGGTATACTCTCATTTAATAAGGAAAATACTGAATCATTAGCCTTTCCCCCCACTTTGTCACCCATGCCGAACTTCCATTTATGTTCTTCTATTAACGTTCAACCTTTATGATGAGGACCCTATGCAAATATTTACTTGCCTTTTGTGCAATTTAGTGTTATCCCCGGTTTTTCCATTTTGAACTCGCCCATGTATTTGTATTTTATTTTAAGTGGGCCATATCAGATAGGCCAGGTCTTTTATTTAATGTTTGCATTTTATTAACACGTGATTTAAATGAAGTCTAGTGAGTAATCGGATTGAATTGGATTGGATTGGATTTATTCGGTGTAAACACCAAGGATAACCCTCGAGTCCGAAGAAGTTTCATTTCCAATGGGGTCCTTCCGGTGGTGGAAGTACACCGAGCGGCAATCCCCTATTTCGTACTGCTCGTCTTACAACAGTGTGAGCATTTTTCTGTTATTCTTAACCATGGACCATATTTGCACACACGGCACCGACGGATTACAGTAAACGTCTCATCCGAAAGACGGTGTGCTATTCCAGCTAAAACACAAGCGATCAGAATTGAACCGGGGACTAAAGGCCTGTTTATACTTCAACGATAACGATAAAAAAGCTAAAAAGCAACTGTTCATATAGAAAATAAGAGAAGTTTTACACTAGAACGATTCGATAACGATTGATCAGTTATGCGATAACAACATATTTTGACAAATCAAATCATATGACGTCATAATCATGGAAACATTAAAATCGTTGTAGTAGCAACGATTTATTGTTTTTCCATTATGACGTCATATGATTTGATTTGTTAAAATATTTTGTTATCGTATACACGACAAATCGTTATCGAATCATCCTAGTGTAAAAACTTCTCTTATTTATTTTGTTTTCTATATGAACAATCGCTTTTTAGCTTATTTATCGTTATAGTTATCGTTGAAGTATAAACTGGCCTTTAGAGATCTCCAAGGTTTAGCTTACGCCACAGTGGCTACCACCAGTTTAGTCTATAAGCTAATATTTGTATTAATCGAGTTTACTTTCAGTCATACATCCATATTTTTAAACAGAGAAATGTTATCCTAACTTCCATTCAGTCAACATAGCTAAATGTACGAAAATATTTCCATTCTAACATTTAAAAAATCAAAAATGATTTGATGAATAGACCTAAATCACATGATAACTTTTGGTTGCTTTCACCTTAGTCCTTCTCTTGCACTTCTATTGTCTCAAATATTCCGACTCATTGACACTTACTGTACGGTAACGAATTACACCTTTTTATGTTCAGTCACCCTAAACAAGATCAAGGGCCACTAAACGTAAGGAGTTAAGACTACTGAGTTGTGAATCTAACTTTATTTAATCAATATTTTATTAAGATTTATAAAGCTAAGTTCACATAACTGAAAATATCGAGGTCCGAACCGATTTTTTCTCCATCCAAGAAAGGTTTCTCTAAGCTTCAAACAATAATATAATGAAAATTAATATTAGCCTCGTCATCGTGAAAGAACAGAATGGATCGTATACCGGGACCTATCTTGCGGACGGTCCATTATACAGTTCCATTTTAATTAAATTATTAATTAAATGTTTTTAAATATTCATTAGAACAAAAGGGCATCATCAAAATTCTCAAATGACAATAGAAGTTACAATGAGAAATGTAAGGGAAAAAAGGCGCAAGAATTTTGTTTTCACTTCCGTATGAGTTAAAGGCAAGTAGTTAAAATTGCCTGTGTGTACGTCAATTAACTAAAATAGAAAGAGAAAAAATGTCAATGTTCCGTCTTTGACTCCCTATACTGCAAGCCACCATTTTGTTGAAGGTAATGAGGTCAATGTGATCGTTTCTTATTGGTCAAAAGTTAAAACCGGATTCCATCGACCACTCACTAAGACTATTATAAAGCGGACATATCCACGCCAACATGAGAAACCAAAATCAGAAAGATAACTCATGGATTGAGTTGCCCGATTTCTTGTTTTTTAGAAGAGATTTTCTGCTGCACTGCATCCATGTTCTACTGAAAATCGCCTGTATCTTCCCAATCATCACTTTTTTCCAGATTTCATTTCATTAGTTCTTTTGAAATAAGACGTTTCTTGTTTTTGTGCTCAATCTGTAAAACTGCCTAAGACCCAATGATATTTCAATACTTTCTCCTTCCTTTATTGCCATACCTCTTCTTAACTCTCAGTTCTTCTCTATTTGTTTTTTCGGAATCCGATGTCTCGTGTGTTTTTCATTCTTGCTCCAACGGCCTGTCAAGTGCTCTCCCATTTAAACTTTGATTCCAATAATATTTGAGTTTAATTGTTTTTGTCTAGACATATTACATAATTCCTAACTCGTGCATGGTTGTATATACCACAGTTATGAGGCCTATATAAAAACTTTTGTTTAATGGATATGTCCAGAAACAATAGGCCTAAGTATTAATGAGCAGACCCTACTGTCACTGTATATAGAGGTAAGAACTATTATGAATTCCTGGTCACATTGATAAAGTAATAACTAAGTTGTTGTTGTCTTTCCTTCTTTTTTATGGTGTTATTTTAACGGAGCTTTCGGATAGTCTTTAGTTTGAACCAGGAAGGAACCGCGGAAGGAAGTTGGCGATCTTGTAGCTTGGATTGTTTTGTCGAAGTGAGGCCTCGCGTTGTTGATACAAGAGGCGTATTAGTGGATAAGTTATATCATTACATGGGGAACACTGGCGAATTACAGTAACATCACAACAGTTTCAAAAGAGTATAGACTTGTATATATATTTGCCGATCATCATCATCATCATCGCGGGTGACCAAAATAGTATTGCTTTGCCAGGCCTACAAAATTCAATTCTTTATTTGTCAATATCAAATTGCATAAAATTAACAGACAAAAAATATTGAAACAGACAACAAAAAGAAACCCCTACGAAGCCCCAAAGGGGCTTGTTAAAAAATATAGAGGGGCCTAAGCAAAGCAAAACGTACACAAAATAAATAATTTTAAAATAAATTAAAAGAGTGAAAAAAAAGTTTGAGAAAACATTTAAGTTAATTTGTTTAAGTCCTAGTACAGTACCTCTAACTTCTTTTATATATTGTTAGTAATTCGTTCACAATTAATATGATACTTCGTTACGATTTAATCAGCGTTATCATATATTCCACAGTATAATCTGGCATTTAATACGTCTTTTAATGCATTAGTTAATACTTGTACATAGCTCATAGCCTAACTGTTATGATGTAGAGTACTTGAGGAACAATATGGAAAACACCCAACAAATAGAGAAGTAATTATTTCCTAACTGGCGCATCTTCGTCACACAGGCTTTCATTGTACGCTTGAGCTATCAATCGTCCAAGCGTGACGACTCACAACAACAAAGGATACTCCTGCGGTTGAACACGCTACTACCTGTGTTTAGATTGAGCTGTGTTGCTCACTTCCCCATTGATAGAATTTTAATATTCCTATGAATAGGCGGATTAATTAAGAAGGCTTTCTGTACGTGCGAAAGCTTGGCAATTTAAAGACCAACTCAGGCATATTATATGCCGCGCTCAAAGAGCCGTGGTTTATGCCTAGGTTGTGCCTTTGTTTGACAATAAGCTCGGAGATAACTATATATTGAGTATTTACAACAGTTTTCATCAGTAGCAGTAATATACTAGCCGATCAGGATGTCAGTACGTATGTAGGCTTTATACAACGGCGGTACATTATATACAGTACTGTATAGTCTAAGCATTGTTATGGATTGGCTAAAGCGGTAAGTATAACCTAACTGTTCTATTAATTTGTCTGGCTAGTCGTCAATTCTCTCATGAGTTGAAGATGTTTGATGTATAATATTGTCTTGTACGAAGCCATATTATTATTAGTATGTACTAGAGATCGATGAATGTCCTTTGTTGCTTTGTGTAGCATAAAGTTACAGTAATGTTTATTTAACGCCTCCCTACCTGTATCTGAGGGACGAATGAAAATATGACAGAAAAACAAGTACATTTTCTGTATTTTAATTATATGTAGAACCCTCGGTAATGCTTCATTACCAATTAACCCTCATTTGAAATTCTGCAAACCTATTCTTTCTTTATGATCCAAATTATTCTTTCTGTATGTAGCTGTGGTAATAAGAATTTGAAGGCTTATGCTTTTAACTCATAATCCGTGAAGTGTAGGTGTTTCAGTTGTTTGACATTAACGAGTTTGCATAGACATTAAGTCTATAAGACTAAACTAAGATAATAATGAATTATGGCTTGATGTAAACAATGCAATCATGAGTTCAGAACATTTTGCAACGATAGTTGTAGGCACTATCAGTAGATTTTGAATATGAAATACTCGATTGATCGAATGAAAAACTGTCAGACGTTTGTTGATTTCGTTATAAGCCCATAGGCTATTATACTATAGCCACCACAGTAAATGTTTTCTTCAAATGCGTGCGGAAAGTGCTGGCCAATTTTTGTAATCAATTACGGTGCATGGATTTTACTGCATTTATTAGTCTCGTAGCACTTCATTTTAAAATGTATTAGTACAATGAAAAGTACAATGCTTTCAATATCCATAAGTAACACAGAAACGCAGTGACATCATTATTATTTTATTAAACATCAAATGTCATTTATGCTAATGAGGAAAAACAATATGGTCTGTTTTACAGACACATTTAGCTATTATTGTTATTGTTATTATTATTATTATTATTATTATTATGGTTATTATTACTGTGAGTATGATTATTTGATCTGACAAAAAGAATTTGTGGGCTTGGTAAAACATGGCTCATTATTCAGTGACTATGATAAATTCACAATGAATAGTTTTAATTATCACCTTAAGAAGTCTTTGGTCTCGGTATAAGGCAATTAATTATCTTTTTCCTTCTCATGCTTTCATTTCTATTAATGTTAAGAAATAACGTGTCTGGTCTGGGTTTTTTTTTTTTTTTCTTTAAACGAATACAAGGCTGGTTTTATTAAATTTTATTGGTATATCATTTCTGTGATTCTGTTAGTTTAGGGAAAACTAAACAATGGTACCGGTCATTTTTCCAATTTTTTTTTTAAAAGGTGGCTACGTCTTAAAGCTGAGAACTTACTGTAGCCTCCTTCCATACAATGTATTTGTTTCAATGTTTTTGCATTCTTATTGTATATTGTATTACTTTTTTCTTTGGAAAATAAAAGTATATTTGATTTGATTTGATAGTTTTTTCCGGGAAGCAGTACACTCCCTAATTTCATCGTCATCACCATCATCATCATCATCATCATCATCATCATCATCGTCATCGTCATTGTCGTCATCGTCATCATCATCATCAACCTCATCATTATCATCGTTATCATCACCGTCGTCATAATCATCATCATCATCATCATTGTTGCTATTAACCTATTAATACTATGATATTATTATCATCATCATTAGTATTATTTTATCGTTCCCAGGCGAGCATCGCGAGGAACTATGGCTCAAGCCAGCACAGGATTAGTGGATGACTTGACGGTGCTAACAACTCTTGATGAGAAAACGTTGGTAGCCGAGTTGATGAGTCGCTATGAATACGACAAGATTTATGTGAGTACACTGACTTAATCAAGTCTCACCGTACTGGAGACTCCAATTATTGATATTGGAAGTTAGACCTATATGAAATTATAATTGTTATTCGCAATTATGACGACGTCTACTGGTAATATTTTATACACTTGACTGGACTGTTAATTTACTATTTTCATAATAGGACTATTATATTGTACGTATAATTATGTTGTACGGACAATATAATTATACCTACATTACGTACAGTATATAGTCACAATTTTATTCCTCCATGGTTATACGGGGATACA